GGCGATGTTAGTGGGACGTCGCTCACGTTATGTTGAGCAGGCTACAGCGACGTCTGAGGTTTCACGGGGTGTTGGGAACGCGGCTCCGCCGCCGCCGCCGCAATCAGGCCATTTGTAATGGGAGATGTGATGGCCAGATGCTAGGGTTAGGTGTGTGAATGAATGACTACAAGTAGGCCTTGGCATTCGAATCTCGCTGTATTCGCTTTTTCTCCCGTGTTTTCTCGATGCCGGACCGGTTTTCGAAACTCGTCCCAGTCAGCTAGTTATTGGCCTTTAAGGGCGCGTCCACTGCGTCGGTTGCGCCAGAAAAGCGAACCACTGGTGCGACTGACGAACGCGCCGCACCTGGCAGGGCCGGAACCTGAACCTGGCCTGTAAGGACACGGACGTCACAGTCAGGATCGGCACCGAGTTCTGCAACGTCACCTCGCTCTCTCAGAACCAGCTGACGTGTAAGCCGCCGAAGAAGGCGCCGCTGGCCATCGGCAGTGACGGCCAGCCCACCGACCGGGAGCTGCCGCAAGTTGTGGTGAGTGCATGCGCCGACAGATGACAGGGCGGCTGCAATTCTTGGGTAACGGCCGGCAACGGATGTATGCGACGCGATTCTATTACCGCCTCAGTTAGATGGATTATTTATTGTCTCCCTTGTCTTATTAGGCCAATCACAAGCGTTCATTGTACGCGATCGGTTCAAGTGTTTTACGAGCAATCATGACAGCGACTCGTCGGCGGTTTGAGTTACGGCCGCCCGCGCGTAAGATTGATGCGCACCGCCGGACATTGTATTTGTTTGGTCGCCGACGGCTCGTCGGCGCCGTGATGCCGGCCGGTCTCTGGTGATGTAAGCTGCCGCGCCACGCTCTGGACGTGCTCTGCCGTTGGCCGCGCCCAGCCAGGTTGCGGCGCCGCTCTGGGCCCGGTGTGGGATGGGGCTCACGCCGGTGCTGCCCCCAGGTGAGCATCGGCAGCCGCCTGAACTACACCATCGGCCGGCTGTCGTACGCGGCGCTGGCACACGGCAGCGGAGTCCTGCCCGAGCCGGTACGGTCCGCCGAGACGGCGCCACCCCCCGGCGTTACGCGTCCCCCTCCCCGCCTGGTGTGGCACCCTTGCTCAGTCTGCCCCTGGCGTAACGTTCCACGGATCTGTAATCACTCCGGACCCGTACGCTGCTGATATGACGCCGCTCCTGACTTCCACGTGTCACCCTTGTGTGGTGTGTCGCCTCTGTTAAGCGTACCATGGTGCGGTGGCTCCTCTGATCTCGCCGGCCCCAGCTGGCTCACTGACTCAGTTTGCCGTGTTTATGAAATACATTTCACGGTCCAACTGTGCTTGCTTCGAACGTAACCTGGTCGATGGATGTAATGCGTTGTTTGTGTGTGATCCAAAGTGGCGATTATTGGAAGAACTGAGTTTTGTTATGCTTTGCAAAGTTTGTAACCACTAATGTTCCCCCGAAGCTCTTTGCTTAGCTCCGTTTGTTTTTAATAATGGTCGGGATTGGCACCTGGCTGCTAAGAGGAGGAAGGGCAAGCCTTGTTGCATTGTTGCGAACCAGCTGATTGATAATGCAAATATTTTGTGACACGTGACCTAGACCTGGTGTTGGCTGACCTGACCTGACCTGATCTGACCCGCCCCGCCCCGCTGCAGGTCATCATCGGCGTGGCGGTAGCGGCCTGTCTGCTGGTGCTGGCTGTCATCGGTATCCTGATCGCCTACAAGCGCAAGTCATCCGAGAGTTCGCGCGTGCTCAAGAACATGCAGGAGCAGATGGACGTGCTGGAGCTGCGCGTGGCCGCCGAATGCAAGGAAGGTGTGTGCCGCGCCAGAGGACGCCGGCCGGTCCCGCTCGGGCCTGGAGGGACAGTAGGCGCGCACATCGACCGCTCGAACCTGGAGGGACAACAGACGCTCACACCGACCGCTCGCTCCTGGAGGGACAGCGGACGCCGGCTGGCCCCGCTCGGACCTGGAGGCTGGAGGGACAGTGGACGCCGGCCGGCCCCGCTCGGTCCTGGAGGGATAGCGGACGCGCACACTGACCTCTCGGTCGACCCGGTGACCGCGCGTCCAGATTACTAGTGGCTTGCTGGGGAGGCCCGCGTGGTGGAGTTGAGTGAGCAGGCACAGGGTGGATATCGCTTGGCTCTGTAGGATGTGGCACCGCATTTACCAGGACTATAGCTAATGTCTAGCTCTCCATCCGTCAACGCGGGTTCTGATTGGTGCAGCTCCCGCTTCGTGAAGTGCCGGTTTGCCGTCGCTGTGTCACGCTGACCGACGGTGTCCCAGCTGACGCTGCTCCCCGCCGCCGCAGCGTTCGCCGAGCTGCAGACGGAGATGACGGACCTGACGTCTGACATCACCGGCATCGGCATTCCCTTCCTGGAGTATCGCGCCTACTGCATGAAGATCCTGTTCCCGAGCCAGGAGGACCACCCGGTGCTGCAGTGGAACAACCGGCCCGACCTGCAGCGCCGCGAGAAGGGGCTGCGCCTCTTTGGCCAGCTTGTCATCAACAAGACATTCCTGCTGCTCTTCATACGCACCCTGGAGAGCAACCGATACTTCAGCATGCGCGACAGGTGCGCGCCGCGGGGCCGGGCGGGACCGGTGCTGTCGCGAAGCCTCTCGGCAGCGGCGAGGGTGCCGTGATATACTCCGGCCAAATGGCTCTATCCCAGAATTGGCTTGTGTACTGCAGGCGTCTCCTTGACTTGTGCGACTGGCGTGAACGACTCATTGGTGCTTGATGCACTCTTCTAGCATTTGTTTGGGTATAATTGTACTTTGGGCACCTGGGGGAACTCCATTGTGGCCTCGCCCTCACTGCACCCGTGCAGTGTCAAGCTCTTGATCGCTGAGTTCTCGGTGACTGGCGTGCACCGTATGGTACTCCTGCCGTCTCGTGACCTCAGAGCTCCCAGCAGGGCCCAGCTGTGGCGTTGAACACATGTGATCCCTTGCGTGTCGCGCTCATAACGTCTCGCCCCATGACAGGGTCGTACCGTGGAGCTGTCGTCGTGATAGCCAAGTGGCCAAGTGGCGTCCATCTCCTGACCTAGGTTCTGTCGGCAGGGTGAACGTGGCGTCGCTGATCATGGTGACGCTGCAGTGTCGGATGGAGTACTCCACTGACATCTTGAAGACGCTGCTTTCTGAGCTCATCGAGAAGTGCACCGAGGGGAACGGCTCGCACCCCAAGCTGCTGCTGCGGAGGTGAGAGCGCGGCCGGCGGCGACACGGCCTCCCGCACTCTTGGCGCGGCGGCTCAGGTTACAAGCTGAGGCTCAGGCTCGGGCTGACTCAGGTTACAAGTCGTGCGGCCTGTCGCCTGTCGCCAGCTTTGTGTACACTTCAGTTCATCGCATGCGTACGTCGTCAGTGGGCGCCGTGTTGAGGGCGGTCGTCCTCTGAACTCGCTCTCTGCCATTCCGCACCGTGTTGAGGGCAGTCGTCCTCTGAACTCGCTCTCTGCCAGTCCGCACCGTGTTGAGGGCGGTCGTCCTCTGAACTCGCTCTCTGCCAGTCCGCTCGCCGCCCTCTGTCTCGCCCCGCCCGGCTCGTGTTCTGGCTCCGGCCGTCGCCACCGACGCCCCCTCCCTCCTCCCCCCCCCCCCCCCCCGTCATTCGCCCGTTAACGCCGTCGCCGTCGGCGCTGCCTCGCAGAACCGAGTCGGTGGCGGAGAAGATGCTGTCCGCTTGGTTCACGTTCCTGCTGTACAAGTTCCTGCGGGAGTGCGCCGGCGAGCCGCTGTACCTGCTGTACCGCGCCATCAAACAGCAGGTGGACAAGGGCCCGGTGGACGCAGTGAGCAGCGAGGCGCGCTACTCACTCTCCGAGGAGAAGCTCATCCGGCAGCAGATCGACTTCACCTACATGGTCAGTGGCGCCGCTGCCGGCGACAGCCCACGCAGTCGTCGGCCCGGCGTGTAGTGCTCGGACGCGTGCACTGCTCGCCTGTATACAGCCGGTGACGTGGCCTCGTGAGCGGGGGCGGGACGGGGTGGTCTGAGCCGGGTGCTGTCTGCTGGCGCTTAAGCAGGCGCATCGACTGGTGGCGTTACGCGGTGCCCGTTGGTCAAGGTGAGAATACGGAACTCACGGTCGAAGAGCCGCGCCTTGGAAACACGCCGCGGAACTGCTTCGCGGCAGTCGTCGCGAGAGACTTCGACGCCAGAGTCCTAGCGCGTTGACATGGCGGTGCGCCCTCCCAGAGCTGTAAATAAAAGAAAACAATGTCGAGAGTTATTCAGCGCGGCTACCTAGTGCCGTTCGATGGCCGTCCGCTGACGCTGCGCCATCTCTCGGCAGACGGTGTACGTGTCGATGCCGACGCAGACGGTGTACGTGTCGGGCCTGGACCCGCACCAGGACAACGTCGACATCCCGGTGCGCGTGCTTAACACGGACACCATCAGTCAGACCAAGGAGAAGAGCCTCGACTCCATCTACCGCTCGACCCCCTTCTCCATGCGGCCGCGCAAGGAGGACCTCGACCTCGGTACGTGGCGGCGGCGGCGGTGGCGGCGGCGCGCCCGGCCGGGACGGCAGGCCGTGGGGCAGGCGGCGGGATGGGGTGTGGGAGGCTGCTGGGCCGGCTGCCACGCTGGTCGAGCCGGTATAGGTGGGTGGTAGGCAAATTTTACGTGGGGGGACACCGGTTGTCTGCGCGGCAAATACGGAGCTGCTGCTGTCAAGGAATTGTTGCTGTCCTTGTGAGAGGAACTGGGATGGGCTTGCAATGTCCAAGGCGGTGTTCATATATCCAGGCTGGAGTGGTGACCCAATGTGTAGACAATCTGGCATGTCGCGCCGCGCCGGCCTGGTGGCTGACCGCGGCCTATCCCCTCCCCCCCCCCCCCCCGTCCCCTATCGGCAGAATGGCGCACGGGCAACTCCGGTCGGCTGATCCTCTACGACGAGGACTCTACCACCAAGATGGAGGCCGGCTGGAAGAAGCTGAACACTCTGGCGCACTACCGCGTGCCGGACGGCGCGCTGCTGACACTCGTGCCCAAGCAGAGCTCGCTCTACAACGTCAGCATCCTGTCGGAGAAGTCGGACAAGTCGCACAAGTACGAGACGCTTAACCTGACCAAGTACGGCGCCCAGAGTCCGCCCCTCAGCCGAGCCATGAGTCCCACCAACCAGGAGAACGGCATCAAGGTGAGCGGAGCCCTGGCGCCCGGCAGGAGAGCGGGCGGCGCCGGCGCGTGCTCGCCGCTACAGCGGGCCTGTGTGTGCGCTGCTGGGTGGGACTTGCCCGTACCGCGTCGCCTCTCGTCTTTGCCACGGTGTGATTGGTCCCTCGCGTAATTTCGTTTAGGTTTGATCGATTGATGGATCGGGACGTTACCGGTTTCTGCGGTATGGACATGCTATGTTCCCTTCCGCCCTGCTTGCGCTCTTTCAGAGCACATGGCTCCATGGGGGTGTGGTATTCCCCCCGTCACGTGTTCTGTAGGGCGGTACATGCAGTCATGAACAAGCCCCGTCTCCACTGCCTTGCAGTTATCCCACCTCTGACACAGCCAGTTGTCTCCGCAGGCGCAGGGCACGATAGACAGCCGCGTCCGTGCTCTGACATCGCGTCCGTGCTCTGACACCGCGTCCGTGCTCAGGTGTGGCACCTGGTGCGCCACTCCGAGTCGGAACAGCGGGACGGCGAGCGCGGCAACAAGATGGTCTCCGAGATCTATCTGACGCGCCTGCTGGCCACAAAGGGCACGCTGCAGAAGTTCATGGACGACCTGTTCGAGACCATCTTCAGCACGGCGCACCGCGGCTCGGCGCTGCCGCTGGCCATCAAGTACATGTTTGATTTTCTGGACGACCAGGCGCTGCAGCACGGCATCCTGGACCCGGACACGGTCCACACGTGGAAGAGCAACAGGTGAGGCGCCGGCGCTAGGGTGCTGGAGGCGGCGGCCACGTGGGCGGGCGAGTAGGAGGGAGGTGACGTGACGGGCGGTGCTTGCGTGGTTTGGTATGCTGTAGGGCCGCAAATGTGTGGTGTCCGGGATGGCTGGTGGTGTGCGTCAAGTAGTGTCGGGTCGATTTGTGGGTGTAGTTTCCTGTTGGCAGTGGCATGTCGTGAGCTTGCCAAATGCCTGGGCCTGCATGGTGAAAGCATAGGCGTAGAATCTGGTAAGCGGTTCGCGAAATGTTTGCAGTCTGGTAAGTGCCCTGTCGGCCTCACACGCCTTGACAAAAAAATCTGGTGATGGAAGCTCACCACTCGCTTGGCACTTGTGCGGACAGCAGCTCTGTCAACAGCTGCGCCAGCATTACCAGCTGGCGACTTAGCCCTCACGCCATCGCGTGATCCCGTGAGTGGCACGTCAGCTAATGTATACCCGGCCGTGCGTGAGCAGCACCGTAGTTTTCAACACATCGGCAAGACCGTGCGTGCCAGGCGTCACGTTGAATGATCAAAGCCTGCGAAAAGGCCCGGGCTTGTCCCGCTAGCCAGGTGCCGCTGACAGGATACGGACTGTAACGTGACCGTTTCGCTGACAGGATACTGACTGTAACGTGACCGTTCCGCTGACAGGCTACGGACTGTAACGTGACCGTTTCGCTGACAGGATACTGACTGTAACGTGACCGTTCCGCTGACAGGCTACGGACTGTAACGTGACCGTTCCGCTGACGGGATACGTGCTGTAACGCGGCCGTCCCGCGGACAGGATACGGATTGACACGACCGTCCCGCGGACAGAAAGCGTACTGTAACGCGACCGTCTCGTTCCAGTCTGCCACTGCGGTTCTGGGTGAATCTTATCAAGAACCCCAACTTCGTGTTTGACATTCACAAGTCGAACATTGTCGACTCGTGTCTGTCGGTGGTTGCGCAGACCTTCATGGACTCGTGCTCCACCTCGGAGAACAAGCTCGGTACGCTGCCGCCTGGCGCGTGGATGGGGGACGGTCTGGGGAAAGGGGGGTGGGGTTGATCATCAATGTGTTTCGTGCCTGGCTCCGGAGAGAGCCGGGGCCAGTTGGCGAGATCATTAACCTGGCCATGATCATTAGGATCATGAACTCTCCGGGAGCTTATGAAGGCTCATCAAGGATCATCTACCCGCTGGAACGGCAGTGGCTTTATATGTGGGGCACGGATTGTTAATCAGTTGAGCCTTGATGACGATGGTATAGCGGGGCTTAGTGTCACATTAGCTGCATTGGGCTGCACCGGATTACTGAGCCCTGCAAACTGCACGTTACGTTACCGAGTGTGCCGCAGCGTGGGGACGCGCCTGAAGCACGGTCTCGGCACTCCCCCCACGTAAGACCGACGGCCTGTCGTCCGCAGGCAAGGACTCGCCGTCGAGCAAGCTGCTGTACGCCAAGGACATCCCCATCTACAAGGAGTGGGTGACCAAGTACTACGACGACATCAACCGGATGCCAGCCATTTCCGACCAGGACATGAATGCCATGCTGGCCGAGGAGAGCCGGGTCAGTGGGGTCGGGTCAGCCGGGGCAGTGGGGCAGCCGGCTGCTCTTCGGGCGCCGTCGGCTGTCTTGTGCGGGTCTCAGCGGTACCCTGGAGGCTCCTGCTGTTCAGCACTGATATGCGTCGACACCTGCGCGCACCCCGCCGGCCGCTGAGATGGGGCGCGCATGTACGTAAGACCAGAGACAGGTCTCATTTCAATTGAAACATGTCGTGGTCGGCATTTCGTCTGAATCCACCCGCCTCTTTGAACTAGGTTATTTCATTCCCAGCTCTGAACCGTCGTGATCGTTTGCCGGCCGTCAGCAGGCATCTGGCCACTGGTGGTATGGCAGAGTGTTGCGAGTTTGGATGTGCTCGGCCGAGTGGCCATCTATTGACCATATTGAATGATTGGGCCGTGCGATCTGGCGTGAGGTGCTGCCCCCTCTGTCGGTGCTGACGTCGCCCCGCCGGCCGCAGCTGCACCAACAGGAGTTCAACACCAACTGTGCGCTGCATGAGCTGTACGCGTACGCCGACAAGTACACCGGTCAGCTGATGGCCAACCTGGAGGAGGACGAGTTCTCCAGCCGGCAGCGGCTGGCGCTCAAGCTGGAGCAGGTGTGTGACTGGGTGGGGAGCGCGGGCACGGTCGTGCCGACGGCGGGGCGTCAGCGGAAGGAGAGGAGGGACTGAAGACGGCGGGGTCCCGCGAGTGACGCGGCACGACCTGCTGGGGAGTGGATGGGGTTAGCAGTTGGCAGATGCCAGACCATGAGCGCAAGTTACGGCATTGAGCCGGCGTAGCCGAGATAATGCGGAGAACCTGACGGATACGGCTGGAAACAGCTGGCATATGGCACCTGGGTGGCTATGTTTGGCGGCAACGTGCCAGTGTAGGTGAGAGAGGTCCCGCACTGGTCGGCCAGTGAGGGTCGATCGGCTCCTGTCGAGCGGCGTCGAGGTGCTGCCGGCGCGCGCTTTCCTGGAGCCCGCGGCCCGCTCCGTCGCAAACCTGCCAAGCGCCGTCGTATATGTCCGCAGCCGCATCGCCGCCGGAGGTTTTATGACGTCTGCTGAGATGACGCCGCCAGACGGCCGGTCGTTCGAGGGAGCGGTGCGGCCTCGCGCGCCGACGGCCGGAGCTCGCTGTCGTACGGTGACCCGCCGTCGCCCCCCCCCCCTCCCCCCTCCCCCGCTGTCCGGCGCTGACCGACGCCGCGCGGTTGCAGGTGCACAAGATCATGGCCGGCGAGCCGGATCCCTGACAATTACAGTCGGGTGTGCTGGAGTGGACCGGCTGGAACGGAGAGTGGCAATAGGCGCCGCGCGCGCTACTCTGCGCGCCCGCCGACCGATCTCAGCGGCGCGACGCCGCGCGGCCGGCGCCGGCCGCTTCTGTGTTTCCACAATCAAAACGGGCACCGCAGGCCGCAGTGGATTTACTCTCCTTGACGTGCGGCGTCGCAGTCGCCGAGGCTGTCGTATGTATGCGCGCGTGTGTGTATGTGCGCCGGCCGAGCGTGGCGCGGCGCTAGATCATTGTGATACTTATTCTGAATATCAAATGGTGTTTTCTATAGCGTGCGAGCGGCCGGGCCGGACCGGCGCGTGCGTGTCTCCGTGTTGCGGCTCGCGTGTGTGTATGTCGTGCGCCGCCGACGCCTCACTCGTCTGTCGTCCCACTCTATTGCGTTGCTCAATCGGCCTGGTAATCTTCCAAGCGCGGCGGCGGGCCTGGTTGGCCGCGCGGCCGCGCTGCGGCGCCACCGGCGGGCCGAGCGCGCGTGCCGCCGACGGACGCCGGGCGGCGTGAGCTTGCGCCCGTGCAGCGTGTACTTACGTCCTCACCGATCCCTGTGCCATGGTGTGTGTACATAGTGTCTGTATAGGCTCAGTCACAAACGGAGCAATACCGCCCCGCACCCTGTGTTGATATTGCGTTCATATTCATTTTTCACCGTCGCGCTATTCGCAACGAATCTGTTTTTTATTCCAGTGAAAGCGCGTTGGCATGAGTACGCAGTAGATTCGCTCGACGGTATGCTATGCTGGCCGCACAGGCTTTGCGCTATATGTGCTCAGGAACGGCGGTCTTACGCGAACTCTGATTGGTTTGGCTCACTCCGCCGCCGTGAGGCGACAGCTAATTGGCTTCGGCAGTCTGCGTCTTGTAGCTGATTGGATTCGGCAGTCTACTTAGCGTTGCTAACTGGCTGAGGCAGCGCACGTCGCCTAGCCGGTTGGCTCGGACGATCCACGCCGTGCAGCTGACTGGCGGAGGCAGTTTGCGCTGCTGTCTGATTGGTCGTCACACCCATTCCGTTGTCGGCGCGGGTCGGTTGAGATTCGGCACGAGTGGATTTTGTAACGGCTCGGCGGCGCGTTAGTTGCTTTTTACTGGATCTAGTCTCAACCACGGCGTGCCCGCCGGCGATGTTCATGTACATTGTGATTGGGGGCCCGGTCATCTCTGCTGTACAGAAACTGTTTATTGTTATATTATGTATGTATGTGTTTGTATTTGTATTTGTGTACATCACGCTCATTGCGTAAATACATTTTTCAATGAAGGTGTAGCTGATTGCCTAATCTCTGAATTGCGACGAGAAGAAAGCGGGGAGAACGAGGCGGGACGTCCCGTTATAACTGCCGAACACGTGAAGTGATGCTGGGGCTTGCTTGTGCAACATGGCGTCTGCTCTCCCCGCATGAATATCGATGCGTAATCGGGCAATGTCTACACCGTACGGGACGCGGCTCCCAGGTCTACACACGTGGCGCTTTCAACCGAGAACTGAAGCTGCGATGCCACGCATAATGTCGCATAATGTCGTACAGATACGTGGATCACGAAACTAATGTCCCTAGGGAAAGCAAGGACTCACAGTGTAGTGGATACCGGAGCATGGGTTGTGCTGGGACCCATCGCCGCGTTTTTGGACCCACAAGTGGTTAGCGCTTGTTGCGCTGCGCGAAGAGACAACGTCGTTGGCAAAGGTAGTGCTGTCACGGCGGCGGCGTGATATTGACTCATGTCTCAGCAATATCAAGTGGATATCGGTTAAACTTCAAGGCTGTTTAACGTTATGGGTGATCCGGACCCGCTGTCCGTGTGACGCAGTTCCACGCACCCCGAATATCAAAGGTATGCACGCGCACATCTGTACTGTGCGGCGAGAGATGCCAATGTCATCGTTGCTGGAGTTTTTTGGCATGCTGACCGCAGTTTGGCCCATGCGAACCTTGTTTCCCAACATGCATTACCCATGGCAAAAGCGACTCCCTGCCGAATGTTGAACTATACCCGGCATCGTGCTGTGGCCGGTGCCGTGAACCAGATGCGAACCGCACCGTGAACCAGATTCGAACCGTACCGTGAACCAGATGCGAACCGTATCGTGAACTCGATACATGCGCATTCACGGCGTGCATCGTCGCGAAGGTGGCATCCGTTGTGTATGAGATTTAACGACAATCCAGAGAGAGAGAGAGAGAGGAGAGAGAGAGAGAGAGGGAGAGGGAGAGGGAGAGGGAGAGGGAGAGGAGAGGGGAGAGGGAGGGGAGAGGGAGAGGGAGAGGGAGAGAGGGAGAGGAGAGGAGAGGAGAGGGAGAGGGAGAGGGAGAGGGAGAGGGAGAGGGAGAGGGAGAGGGAGAGGAGAGGAGAGAGAGAAAGAGAGAGAGAGATGCATATATATACATAAACAGCGCTTCAAGAGTGCATATATGTATATATATATATATATATATATATATATATATATATATATATATATATATATATATATATCTCTCTCTCTCTCTCTCTCTCTCTCTCTCTCTCTCTCTCTCTCTCTCTCTCTCTCTCTCTCTCTCTCTCTCTCTCTCACACACCTCTTTCTCTCTTCCTGTCTCTCACATGCGTTCTCTCATACTCGCTCCCTCCTCGTAAAATTTACGATTTCATTCAGTCTAGCCGCCGTGTTCATTTCGGGCAACAATGGGAAAGCGCGAGCTAAGTTTTGTTGGAGTGTTAAAATTTCCACGCGCAATATGCAGGCCAGATGCTTGCCTTACAAGCTCACTGCAACTTTGAAAGCCTCGAGACGTAATGTCGCGCAGAGTCATTGATCACGAGAGAGCCTGCAGACTATGGCAAAAATTCTACTTTGACGAGATAATCGATCTGGTCTAGTCATCCTGGCGGACTGCATCGTGCTGCTATGCTGAACATTAAGCTTCTCCACTGGCATCCACCACCGACTGACGCATGCTTGCGGCCTATACTAGTCATTTGTTAAACACTTCAGCTTTCAGCTACCGCTCTGTCTCACCGATGGCCAACGGGATTTACAGAAATATATCGATCAGGCCATTGCACAACATCTAGAACAATGGAACAGATCGCAGCCGGTGGTTGGACGGATCGTGCGTATGATGCTGCGCGTACGACTTTGCAGTAAACATGAGACTTGCTGACCCGTCATCAGCGACCAGAGACGGTCAGAGCGACCGCCGCTGCCCGCGCTCTGACGGCGCCGTCGTACCCACCGCCTGCTGTCATGCGACCGCTCCCGAGACGGAGTCGTTTCCACAGAGCTGTCTGAAGGAGGACCGACCGTGGCACATCGCGAGGTCTCCGCGGCGCTGCCCCTGATCTGGTCCCGACGAATCCCGACGGCTCTGTCGGCCGTCATGCCTCACCAGTCTTGCCTGTTGTGCCGAGAGTGGATGAATTGAGCTCGGAAGGGGCGAGGCATGCTATTCAGTCAGAGGGTCTTGAGCCCTCTAAACTTGTAGCCTAGCCCCCAGACCAAGCTCCATAACTTAAGCCCCCCCCTCCCCCTGTCCCCAATAGCCATTCCTATGATAAACCCAGCAATGCAAACAAAACAGACTGAGATAATGTTGAGTTTTCTCAGATGGCAATACAAGGGTTCCACATCCGAGGAGAACAGAACGTTGGGGCTTACTGGACCTGAGGCCATATGGGATTGGCTCCTTGACATACCGACCCAAGGGCAGATATGTCAAGGTCCTGAGTAGGTGGAATGGCCCACGTTCTCACTTGGTATTACCCTGGTAGTAGTTGGTAGTCACGGCCCTGCTGGCTACCATTGCTAGCGGCGCCTCGCCTTTGTAGACCTGTCGAGGAATTGGGAAGTCTGACGGCTTATGGCACGGTGTTGGGAAATCCGACTGCTTATGGCACGAGGTTGGGTAATCTGACGGCTTATGGCGCGGGGTTGGGAAATATGCCGGCTTATGACGCGGGGTTGGGAAATCTGACTGCTTAGGACGCGGAGTTGGGTAGTCTGACGGCTTATGGCACGAGGTTGGGAAATCTGACTGCTTATGGTGCGGGGTTGGGTAATCTGACGGCTTATGGTGCGGGCTTGGGAAGTCTGACGGCTTGTTGCGCGGGCTTGGGTAATCAGACAGTTTATGGCGCAGGGTTGGGTAATCTCACGGCTTATGGCGTGGGGTTGGGTAATCTGACGGTTCATGGCGCGGGGTTGGGTAATCTCACGGCTTATGGCGTGGGGTTGGGTAATCTGACGGTTCATGGCGCGGGGTTGGGTAATCTGAGGCTCATGTGCTGTCCGCTCCATGACGCGAGATCTAGGTGAGGAGCATGGGGCTACCCCATCCGTATCAGGGAACTACCCGGAAACCTGGTGCTGTAGAGCACGCCAACAGAAACCGAGCGTAATGGGCTTTATCGCCTTTGCTTGATTGTCATCAACAGGTACTTCCTTTTTTATCGCGCCTTATCACCGCAAGCGAAGCTCTGGCACTTATTCCCGAGCCCAAAGGGCTTAAGCAATCTCCAGACTATAGCGGGCCGAGGACAGCAACGCCACCTGGCTGTAAACGTGGCCACGTCCCCGGTCACGGAGACTGTCCAATATATGAAATAGCGGGCAGAGTGGCACATGCCAGAGATCCTTGCAAGGTGTCCCCGTGTAGAAGAAGAATACCTTTCTCGGCCTCGGCCTCCAAGCAACTCTTGTGCAAGAAAAGAGTATTGACTGGCAGCGAACGAAGCTGATCCCGGCGGACCCTGGCGGACCATCACACGGGGTAGGTGTGGGGGCGGCCCGGGCATGAACCTTCAGCCCCCGCTCCAGTCAGGACCCTAGCGGACCACCACACGGGGTAGGTGTGGCGGCGGCCCGGGCATGAGCATTCAGCCCCCGCTCCGGACAGGACCCTGTCGCCAAAGGATGAATATGTGAAGCGTTAAGTATCATGGACACTTGGTGCCGTCAACCCTCTCTCAGTTCATATTGTTAGAAAGACAGAACAGCTTTGAAAGGGATGGCTTGACTGAAACTTGTAAAAATCACTAAGATCTTAGCTATTCGTAAGATTCCAGATTTTTTGTCCTGTCCCTGGAACTAATACGTTGATTTTGCCAATGCAGATTGCAAGAGTAGTTTACTACCCGGAAACATGGTTTATCTCTGGGACCGAAAAGTTGCTTTTTGGGGTTTGACTGTTCTGCCGTAGGAAGTAAATTAGAATGGATTTTCTTTCGCAGGTTCTAAGAAAAATGTATTAAAACTCCTTTTTCCGGTGCATTTAAGATCGGGACACTTTCGTATACTGAGAAGCATGTATTTCAAGGGCATGTACAACTCGAAAGCTACCAGCACAGCTCGTAAAAGAGAAGTCATGCAAGCAATTTATCACGAACCAGAAAACCAGGAAGCTTGCCTTCCTTACTAAAGTGCTTTGGAGCCGTGCATCCAGCTCCAACGAGGCGGAGTCCTGCTATTTGATAACTTCCTACCCGCTCACAAGGCCAGCTCTCGCGCCGCACATTCTCGCCGATGAGGCCGTCCCGGCGCGGCCCCTGCTGGCACAGTGCCCGGCTGCCGCCCCGGCTCCCTGAGCCCCCTCCCTCGAGCTCTTGAGCCCTGGCTTACCCAGCCGAGGGTGAAGAGCGCGAACAATCTCGTCGCCTCCTCCCCGTTCGTCATAGGGTTATTGCGCGGCCGAGGTCCGACACGGGCGCCGACGCCGCCGGCCATTTCGGTGCGATCGATGGGACGTGGTCGGCATGGGCCGCCTCTCCTCCCCGTCGGCGTGGGGAAATGTGCGTGGTCCTCGTGATCGGCCTAACGGTCGCGATCGGCTCGACCGCCCGACGGGACGCGGGTGACGCGGTGCAAACGCCGGCGCGACGGCACGTTAGTGAGACATGACGACCTCGCGGCGGATTCTTTTGACGCGATGGCACTCGTTTGATGGCACTCGAGTCATGGACGTGACGAGATGTGGTCTCCGGGGAGCAAGAAGTACACGTTTACCGATTCAACATGGCGGAAACAGGAATTAAATGAGTGCAAGGAACCCATGCTGTTGGCGTGACACGGAAGAAGGTAGGCTTCATAAACGTACAAACGTTTTCCATTATTTCACTTTTCCAAGAACGCAAGAGATTCCAAACAGCTACCTTATGCCAACCCTATAATAAATACATACACCTAGAGTATATATATATATATATATATATATATATATATATATATATATGGCAAAATATATATTATATTATAACTAAAAAATGTATAAAACCTAAAATAAATTCTTA